CGAGGCGGACGAGGACCCCAGTGTGCCCCCGTACGACTCGGTGCAGGTCTACGGCTACGAGGGCCGGGGCTCCTCCTGCGGCTCGCTCAGCTCCCTGGGCTCGGGCAGCGAGGCTGGCGGTGTCCCCGGCCCCACCGAGCCACTGGACGACTGGGGTCCACTCTTCCGCACTCTGGCTGAGCTGTATGGGGCCAAGGAGCCCCCGGCCCCCTGAGGCCGGCCCTGGCCCTGGCCCTGGCCCTGCCGCTGCGCTGCGGTGGGTGGGGCATGGGGCAGCGTGCACAGGCCCTCTGAGTGAGCCCCACGGGGTCCAGGCAGGCGGGGGCAGCCCAGGGGCCCGAGGTGTCTGTCCCTCCTCCTCCCCTCCCTCCTTTTACCTCCCACCCCTCAGTCCGTCTGTGTGTTTCTCCAGAGATCCCTGTCTGTGATTCTCCACTGTCGGGGGTTGGGTTTTATAACGGACCCAACCTCTGTTCTCACTGTGACTCTGTGGCTGTTTTTGTCTAGTAAATTCTAATCGCTCAGACTCTGTCTCCCTTTGCCCACACACATGCTCTCTGTCTGTCTCCTGCCCACATGTTCCTCCCTCCTCTTTGAGTCCCTGGCTTTTTGGTTTGTTGTTTTTGTTTGTTTATCCCTGTTATCCATCCCAAAAGCAAGAGAATCTTCCAGCCACTGCTGCCCCACCCTACTGCAGGAGATGCCCTGTGCCAGGTCAGTGTCCGTGGTCAGGAAGGGCTGGACCAAGGCTGCTCTCCCAATCCCTGCTTCTAAACCAGCTCTCCGTTCCTTGTAGACCTGCCCGCATGGTTCCATCCATCACTCATGGCCTCATCCTGGCTCCACTGGCTTCTAGCAGAAGGAAGAAGGAAGCCAGCTCACCTCCCAGGGCAAGAGCTTCAGCCCCCACGTGGCCACCTCCCTGGAGCTCTGCCCAGCTGTCAGCCTGCCCTGGGCATCCCAGCTCTGAGCATTGTCTTGTGTGCTTCTCAGGCCCCAGAAGGGAAGGGAGGGGGGAGAGAAAGGGGAGGCAGCTGGGGAAGGGGAAAAGGGAGGAAGGGGAGGGGCCTCCATCTCTAATTTCATAATAAACACTTTATTTTGTAAAGTAGGAGCCTGCTTCTGTTTCTGCACTCAGCTTTCCGGACAGAGCTTCCTCTGTGCCGAGGGTGGAAGCGGTCTAAACTCTCCATTCCCAGCTCATTCCTTCTTGGAGGTACCGGCTTTACCCTCTCAGAGGAGTGTTTGGACCGGCCCGTGTGAGGAGCAGAAGGATAGTGACTGTCTCCCTGTCCACCACCAACTCTTCAGGTCCACCCCATTTGTCTCCAACTGTCTCAAGAAATGAACCTCTGCGATTGGCAAGAGGAGATTGAACAAGGGGGATACAGAGTGAGCGGAGACAAGAGACCAAGCAGAGGGCAGTTGGGAGGGCCATACTAGTAACCACAAGAATGTGGGTGGGGAGCCGGCCAGCCGCAAGGCAGCCCTGGGCCTAGAGGACTAATAAAGCATGGGCCGTGGTGGGACAGCCACACTGATTGAGGCCCCCACTTCCACTTCTACACACACACATCTCCCCAGCCCACAGAAGGTCTCAGTCTCCATGGAGCACAGAAGAAGATCAGAGAAGCAGGGTGTGAGTGGTTAAGGGGTAGACGACATCAGGTGGGGCGGCAGCTAGCTGGGACTGCCAACATCCTCCATGCTCACCTCCTGAGGCAGAGGAGGCATCTGCTTGGGGAACAGCACAAGTCTCGGGCCTTTTCCAGGCTACCCAGGAAGTAAGTGGGGTCCCAGCAGGTCTTTGTGACCCTTCACTACTAAATGTGTGGAGAAAGCTGCTTTCATGAGAAAGAGAGAGAGAGAGAGAGAGAGAGAGAGAGAGAGAGAGAGAGAGAGAGAGAGACTGGGTCTCACCATGTAGCTCAGGCTGATCTGGACCTCACTGTATAACCCTGGCTAGCCTTGAACTCACGACAAGCCTCCATCTCTGAGGGCTGAGATTAAGGTCACACAGACCGGAGCAAACCTTCTCATGCCTTCCATAACTGCTGACTTAGAACGAACAGGCGGTGGGACGCCAAGAGCGCTCTCTCGGTCACTGGTTATTCCCTCTGCTGAAGCTGCATTAAAAAGCCTGCCAAAGAGCAGGTGTCCATCCCTCCAGGGCCTCAGGAAACTGAAGCCGCAGCAGGCTGAGCAGGGCATCAGAGAGGGCAGGGTCCTGCAGTCCAGGCAGGCTCTCTGGCCAGCCCTTTGGTCTCACCTCGATAGCTGCTTCAACCTTTAAAAGGTATTGGAACGGTGAACAAAATGATCCTGGACGAGTCTCAGGTTGAGAAGGGTACATTCAAAAGGGACATTAACTTTGCCTGCCTGGTCCTACTGACCCCGCTGAGGCGCTCCAACAATGCATTAAAAACGGGGGACGGGGGTGTGGGGGGGCAGTGTGGATAACCCAGGTGTGAAGAGCGCTGGCTGCTCTTCCCGAAGACTTGGGTTCAATGCTCAGCGTCCACATGGTGGCTCACAAGCATCCCTGTGTCCAGGGGATTTGATCTGATATCCTTTTTCTGACCTGCGGGCACCAGGCCAGTGTGTGGTACAGAACATACATGGAGACAAAACACGCATATACATAAATCTAAAAAAATTAAAAACGCACAAAAAAGGCATACGCCTTTAATCCCAGCACTCAGGAGGCACGTGGGTCTCTGTGAGTTCGAAGCCAGCCTGATCTACAGAGCTAGTTCCAGGACAGCCAGAGCTATTACACAGAGAACCCTGACTCAAAAAAGAAAAAGAAAAGAAAGAAAAGAAAAGAAAAAAAGAGAAGATAAAAGAAGTAGACGCAAGCTTTGTTCTTTCAGGGTTCTAGCCTCCTTGTCTAGTCTGGGAAGAGTGGTAGAGAACACCTCGGGATTGGGCTGTGTATACACACTCACGCGCACACACGCGCACACACGCGCACACCTTCACAGCAGCCTTTTCTGTGCTCACATGCCCACCACAGGCCCCAGACCACCCCTCTGCCCCTAAAGCTTCAGAACAGACCAGGACGGTAAGGGGTAGTTATGGGCTGGTGCCCAGCCCGGCCCCGAGCCCCTCTTTTCTGTGGCTCTCCACTGTGCAAGGTGTACAAAGGGGGGGGGGGGCAGAGGCTGGCACTGTGCCACACAGACTGCAGGGGCTGCTCTTATTCAAGCTCCTTTCTCTTCCAGAGTCACCACACATGCCTCTCCTGCCACACTCACGTGCAGATACCTGGCCTGAATCACTCACCCGTAGTTGGATGTAAGACCTACTCACATCAGTGGCCATGAATCTGAACCCACTCATGCCTGTGCCAAAGCTGCTTCTCCAGTACTAGGAGGTCTCAAGTGTCCGTGACCTTCAGTTATCACCCCCGGAGACCCACATCTCCTCCCTAAGGCTGGGCAGTTTGCAGGGGGTGAAGGCTGCTGTGAGGGCCAATAGCCAGACTCCACCCTGGCTTGCAAACTGTTCCCATGTACTGAGGACTTTCTGTAGTCCTCTGTTCTTTCTGAGGGTCCCCGACTTTCCTTCCAACTCTCCAGAGTTTGGAGAATCCATTTCAGAGTCTGTAAGTCCAATGTCAATGAGTTCTTAATCCGAAGTGTAGACGGTCAAGGAAGAGGGAGAAGCAGCTGTCAGTCTTGGGACTGGGGGTAAGAGAAAAGTTTCAATGGCCTTCCTTCAGACCCCACCTCCTGACCAGCCTGGGGAGAGGGCAGTGGTTCTCCTGAAGCTGAATGCCTGAATCTCCAAGTCCTGGCTCCCTGGGAAGCCTGAAGCAGGTCAGGAAGACCAGAAGATGTGCTAGCTGGCACCACCAGTGTAGTCCTCTGGTCTTGCTCCTCTGGAGAGAGCAAGCGGAGAGGAGTGAAGAACAGGGAGAAGTCTGGTGAGTAGAGAACAGGGGTAGGCTACAGGGCAGGGCTCAGGCCCTGGCCAGCATAGCCAGAGAAGCCTGGGAATGGGCAGTTTTTCTGAGCTCACCCCTCCAAGCCCATGGGTTCCTTGGAGTTCATTCATCTCTAGCAAATAGACAGGGGCTTGGCCTATTCCCCAGAAGCTTGCAAAGAAGGCAGAAAAGGCAGGACAGTTGGCTCACATCTTTAATCCCAGCGCTTAGGAAGCAAGGGGCAGGCAGATCTCTGTGAGTTCGAGGCCAGCCTGGTCTACAGAGTGAATTCCAGGAAAACCAAGACTACACAGAGAAACCGTCTCAAAGGGGGCAAGGCAGGCAGCCAGGTGGTGGTGGCGCATGCCTTTAATCTCAGCACTCAGGAGGCAGAGCCAGGCGGATCTCTGTGAGTTCAAGGCCAGCCTGGTCTACAGAGCAAGATCCAGGACAGGCACCCAAGCTACATAGACAAACCTTGTCTCAAAAAAACAAAAGGTGGGGGGCAAAACAGTGGGGACTGGGAGAGAAATACGCACAGAGAGCCCAGGAAGGGTTGAGTGTATCTAAGCCTACAATGTTGTCACCCTACCATAACCTGGTAAGTCCCATACCTCTCTAGACCTGATCCCGATTCAGTACAGGATCATGCTTCCAAAAGCTGTCATGAGAACTGCACTCAGTACAGAAGGGAGGAATTATTACAGTCATCATGGTCACGGCAGGCGGGCAGCAGAGACGAGCCCATCACCACTATACCTGAACTAGGCCCTGCAGCCTTCGGGGCTTCCAAGTCTTTCTGAGAAGGGCTGCTCTCTCTCTCGCTGCTGGCCTGCCTGACCAAGGTGAGAAGTGACCAGGAGAGAGAGAGACAAAGACTCTGACAGATAAGGACCAAAATGAGAACAGAGACTGGGATGGGACGACCAAAAAGAGTCTGGCACACAGCAGGGCAGTGGGCACGCAGCAGGCACGCAACAAGTGTTTGGTATGTCCGTCTAGAGACAGGAGAGGCCATACCATCCACCGGGCATCATCACGCCATGTCGGGCAGGGATGTCAATCGCTTTGGGAGGCAGAAAGGATAGGGACTTAAATAAAGCAGGCAACCCAGAAGGGCCAGAGCCAGATGCCACGAGGCTGCTTCCAGAATTAACCCTGCCAGGGCAGCCTCGTTCCCCAACCCGCCCGCCCTGTCTGGGTCTCCCCAGTTCTGTCCTTTCTCACATCATTCCAGTCTTTGCTATTATCCTGTCGTCTTCTGGGGTCACCTCCTCTGGCTCCACCAAGAGTCCTCCCCCTTCTTCAGTGTCTTGCGGCCCAACAGGCTCAGGGTGGACTGGACTGGCTTCCGCCTCCTGCTCCGAGTCGGGGGCTTCCCGCAGCTCCCTGTACAGCACACAGGCATCGCTGCGGGACACATACTCCCACCCAGTCTCTCGAACGTGGAAAAGGTCCACTGAGCCCCCTGAGTAAGCGTCACGGTGGGTGGCATGGGCCACAGCGCAGCGGGCCAGGGTGTAGGCTTCCTGAATGGTCATGTCATAGCGGTAGCCACGGTCAAGCACGCCATAGGCATACGGAGACCCAGAGCCCACAGAGAAGACGTCCCCCTGCAGACAGGTGCCATCGCTGTAGACATAGAAGAGAGCGGGGCCCGAGTGGTCCCAGCCGCACAGGGCAGTGGCCACACACAGATCCAGGCCCCGGTAGCAGGACAGCATGGTTGACAGGAGCCTGGCTGTGCCTGCCACGCTGGGCAGCTGACCTTCCCTCAGTTCCCGGAGCCGCAGCTCCCGCTGTAGCACCCGATACCACGTGGCACAGTCAGCAGAGGTTCCAGAGGTGGTACCCAGGAGGTGCTGGTGCACGGGGATGACCTTTCGGGAGGCTGGACAGGCCACATAGCTGCCGCAGGAGGAACGAGTGTCAGCGGCGGCAATGACACCGTGACGGAAGCGAAAAGCCAGGGTGGTGGTGCCATGAGCCAGCCTGGGGCCATAGGTCTGCAGGAAGGTTTGAGGGTCGCAGCCCCGGGGCACAGCCCAGCCGCCAGCCGCAGGCAAGCGCGGGGATGGCCCCTGGGTGTCCGGGGACTGCCACCTGCACACGTCCTGGAGAGCCATCGCTGAGGCTGAGTGAAGTTGGGAGGAGCGGGGGGCAGCCTTTGAGGCCTGGGTCCGAAGGGGAAGAAGGGACGCCGCAGAGAAGCTGGACAGCAGCCAGAGCCGGTAAGTGAGACGCGGGAGTTGATGCTTCATTTCTTCGCCCGAATCTTAAATCAGGCTTCGGAACTGGTTGGCAAAGCATCTCCACCCACATCAGAGAACTGCCCCGGGGAGACAGAACGGGCCGGCGGAGGTTCCTGCGCTGGAGAGACGCCACCTATCAGTCAGGTAAGAGTCTCCTGTCTGTCATCCGCTGTCTACCCAGCAGGGGGTAGAGATGGGGATTAGGGTGACTGCAGAGAAGAGTGGCTGCAAGGAGAAGAAGAGCTGGGTCCTCCTTGGCTTTGCTGTGTGGACATTAGGCATGCAAAGACTTCTAACTCATGGGGGGACGACTGTGCTGAACACAGAAAAGATGAGTTTCTTTCTTTTTTTTTTTTTT